AAAAAAAAAAAAAAAAAAAAAGATTATATTAAAATTTTAATAACTTTATATTCTGAAATTATAATTATGTTTACATGGTTTTATCATAGGTTGGTTCTAAAATAGAAAACACTAATAATTTTTAAAATATTAATTAAAAAAATAAGTCCCAGGTTTTTATTTGAATTTTTTTTCCTTCAGGAAAGAAAAATATATTAGTCAACTCTCTTTTTTTTTTTGAAATGAAGTCTCACTCTTGTCGCCCAGGCTGCAGTGCAGTGGCGCAATATCGGCTCACTGCAACCTCCGCCTCCCAGGTTCAAGCAATTCTCCTGCCTCAGCCTCCCAAATAGCTGGGCTTACAGGTGCCTGTCACCATGTCTGACTAATTTTGGCATTTGTATTAAAGCCTGTCTCAGACTCTCAAATTGCTGGGATTACAGTGTGAGCCACTATGCTCAGCCAAAAACAACGTAATTCTTAATGGAGAAAGTTAAGAGTAAATGTTTCAGAGACGATGACTTAAGTGTACCAAAGATAGCTCATAATTCAATAAGGGTATTGAAAACAACGAGATCAATGCTAAAGGCAGCTGGGCCAGTGGCCCCTCTTCTTGGGAAATTTGGCATTGAGACACACAACTAACAGTTTAAACCTCTTCTGTCCAAGAATAAACAATGTATGTCATGTTTTTAAATGGCAGTGCAGTCTTGCATGGTAAAACCATGGGAGGGATGGTTTAAATGTAACAGGAAGCATTTCACAAGGCAACCACAGGAAAGGCAAAAACAAATTCAGTCTTTAGATAGGCCCAAACAACTGGAATCCACGTTACAGCTTGCACAGCTAAACCTGGGCCAAGGGACCACTATTTATTTCATTTTGTGCACTGTGAGGAGGTGAAAACATTAACTGTTCTCTGGGACTGTGGAGTATAGGAAAGATGTTTGGCTGTATTATATTTTTAAACCCTAAATCACACGTGAAAAAATAAGACAAAAAATGAAATTTACTTTGCTTTGAAAACATTCTACTTGTTTTTAAAAGAAAGTATACAATGTGTAGAAACAATGAATACTCTAGAGAGACTGAGCTCTGCCTCCCGCAGGCCACCTGGTCTAGGACTTGTTGCAGTGCCTCTAGGGGCACTTTACTGATGGGAAAAATGCGGAGGTGGCAATGCAAGCTGGCATTCCTGGGGGGCTCTGTTGAGACCACACTGTGTTTCAAAAGTCTTCAATCAGAAGGCCAAGAACTCTCCAGCTCCACACACCTGCCTCCCCCTGACCCGCTACCTCATATAATGTAAATCTCCCTGGCCCCTGTAGACAGGTGGGTCTACAACCCTTGGGGACACAACCTCTCCAGCTGTGTCCAATCCTGCCATCCTATGATCATGCCACTACTGTTAATAACTTTTTCAAAAGTGTTGTTTAGGTCACTATGATATTGAGCTACCAGATAACACAGCAAATTGGAAAACTGAATATCAATCAATCTCTAAAACTATCAACACTGTACCCCATAGGTAGGGTCAAAATACAGAATGTTTAAACTAACATACAAGAATAATTGTATCATCAATTTTCTTAAAAAACCCCAAACACAGAGCTTATTGACTTCTGCTTTATCAGTAAATCTAATATTAAAAGCAATCTTTTCAATAACTTCTGTACTCTGATTTCTGCAAAGGTGCATACTAGGGTATAATATATGTTTTTGTTCTAAATAACTTTTAAGCAAATTCATGTACTGGAAAATATATTGGTAATATGCTTCTAACACCATGAGAGCAATAACATGAAAATTATCACTGGAATAAGAAAGGTAGAGGATACAATTCTTCGAGATGAAAGGGGAGAGGAGAGGGGTATTTTCCACTGTTATCCTCGCTAATGTCCAATATTCATTTTGTTTGTCAAGTACATTACTTGGTCCTTCATGTCATACAGACCTTGCTTGGAGTTATCACAACAGAACGACCATGAATACAAATATATATACTAACTTTACGAGTCAGTGGATGGCAGGTGTCTCCCAGTTTGCCCATAGGTGTGCAAATCCTTATGCTCTTAACCCAGATACTGACAGCACAGCACATGCCTCCACCACACTGGGAGTCCTTGTCACAAGCCTGAAATGTAATAAACAAACAGATAAATATAGATAACAGGAAAGACTCAGGCTAAGGAAATCTAAAATTAGCAGTGAAAATGCGCTTTAAATATCCAAACACTTCGACTTTAATGATCAGATATATATTTTTTAAAATGATAACCTTCATTTGCTTGTGTATATCTATGATAAAATCTGATCAGAATAGATATTTCTCATTTTTCTGAAATTATATTAAAATCTAGCCTCTGGATTATGAAAATCTTAAATAAACAATTTTAAAAAATGAAATCAGCTCTCCTTTTCCAGCATTTTATGGCTGAATTGGCTTTGAACTTGAAGAACAAGACTATATTAGTCTTACACTACACATGGCCATTAGGAACTACATAAATCGAATCACAAGATTTTATGACTATTAACTGCAGAATCCATTGGGCCCAATTTTAAAAAGAGATTTAAATAGTCTCTAAATCTGGCAAGAAACACTCCAGACCCATAAAGGCACTGATGTAAATTTTAGAAGTGCTCATTTTCCCTTTCAAATATTTGCATTTTGGTTCACAAGACTTGACATTTCTCACACTACTGACTTGCTTTTTCACCATTTTCTCTTTAAAGAAATCTCATAGGTTTAGAATGGACAGACAAAGATGCTTGCCTTATATTACTCTTCCTTCAAGTGAATAAGCTGCAAAGAGCAAATGACTGGCTTCAGATAAACATATATATACATTACAAAATCAGCTGAAGGAGCCTGTAAGATCCATCACATTAAGAAATGCAAGCGACAGGTGCAATTGTCAACAGTAATTACTCAAGGCACCTGTTTTCAATATAAAAAGTTGTAAATACATACAAAGAATCAACTATGCAGGAATTTCCATACTCTACTAAATAGAAATAAATAATGTAGTCTAAATTTATTTGCATGAAAACGGATCTGAAGAACTATTATTATTTCCTAGAACCAACAAAAAATAGAATGCTTTTGTTTCAACCATGGGCAGTAATCTGTTTTGCTAGTGATACGATAAAAACATCCTGTACTATATATGTCAGAAACTAAAACCTCCATAATTCAGGTACAAATTTAAATGTAAACTTAGTGGAAACAACTAAAATTGTCTTTCAAAGTTCTCAGTTTTGAGGACAGTCAGAACTTCTTACGACATAAAAATATGGGCACATTCTTAACATTATTTCTCATTAAAAGTAACCAACTACTTTCCTTTAAAGTTCATTTACTTCCCTCATTAGAATTTCTCAGTCTATTTAAAACAAGTATCTGGATAAGAGCTAAAAATTTCACTTTAAGGTATTTGGATTTTATAGGACAATATATAAATGTTTCCATTTTCTAATTTTTATCTGCATGCCAGAAAACATGTATATGTAGCCATTACATTCCATAAATAAGATGTCTAGTCAATGATCTTTTACAATATAGTTTTAACAAATCTATATGGCCATATAAATCAATTTCAAAATACCTACATACATTACCCAAAAAACTGTGGATGTAAGGTGGAAGTTTTAGCTAGTATTTTATTTCAACAGATGCTCAGTACCCCAGATTTTGAGGCCCCCATGAGCTGTTTTTTAATGAGACAATCAAAACTCCAGGCAAAAACTTTCACCTGAATGTTTAACATGCTATACACAATATATCTTGATAAGTTACTGAGGTTTTTCATTTGAATCCAGACGGTTCCTGTCATGAAGACATAACTACATTTTATTGCCCTATTGCTTTAGAGACAGTTAAAAAATTCTTTTTGTAACACTGAGTTAAAATAACAACAACAAAAACAGCACACAAAACTACATAATAAGTCCAGTCTAAGCCTCTCTAAGGGATAGACAGCCAATGTGAAAATTTTATACTGTAACAAAAGATTCAGTTCCAGGAAAATTTACAAAGAGTTGCATAGGTTTATATATTTTTAATTAGACAGCTGTTTCCTAATGCCCTTCATCCTTAACCCATTGCAAATCTATTCAGATACTGTTGTCCTGTGAATGGAACAAAAAGATACTTATATTGCAAGGGGATCTTGGGCTCAGAGGATTAGGAGAAACTTTAAATGAGCCAGCAGGGGAAGAGGGAGAAAAAAATCCAATCATGTTTCCATTCTCATGTATTAGAAAGACCTGTAAAAATTTTTTGTCAACCACAACCACATGGACTGACAAAGCTAAGCAAGTAATTTTTTTTAAAAGAATCTCTTTTCTAATAAATACCACAGAGTTTACAGTTAAATATCTGTTGGATATATACAAATGCTGTCATATCATAAGGACTTGCAAAATGCTATAAACCTAATAACTAATATAGAGAAAATAGAGCTTTATTTTTTCAAGACAATGACATTTCCTTTAAAGTTAAATGTCATTTTATTACCTATGTATCAGGATTTCAAAGACAGACGTTTTATTTAAATCCTACTATGTGCACTTAAATACTTGAAGTAATGTAATGAAGGTGTGAAATAATTCCTCACTTAAAAAACAGTAATGTTGCCTGCGTGCCTGCAGGCAGCAGTAAAGCAGGACATGACAGCAGTTTTGTCTTGGTAATGTAAACTAGACATTTCAGTATTGTACTGCAAACCCATTCTTCAGAAACACACAAAATTGTTAGGAGTGGGAACGAACTGAACTAGCTCCTACTTACAAAAAAGATGAAGACGTCTTCTCTAAGTTTAAACATCTACATAGCAACCTACTCCACCATTATACCACAGCACTGGAGGTGCTTTGCCAGGAATGAGAAATTTTAAACTTTTATGAGGATACCTCAAGGCACTGGTAGGGGGGAGCCCCCGGAACCCAGAGGGAAGCGCTCACAATTGCTTTTCAAAGTGCGTACATGGCCCTAGACCAAGCGATTTCAAAGGGTTTCTGCGGAGGACGCAAAGGGGAGCAAACTTTGGAATTTGGGATTAAGCACTTGGAGATTCGTTTTGCTCCTTTGCATTTAAGGAAGGGGGCGGTCACATTTTAAGGTTCCAAGTTGGAACGCCTCCAAAGGTACTTCAGAAGACTCGGAGAGAAACTTCTTTCAGTTTAACAGAAGGAAAACGCAAGGAGTGAGGCTGTGGGTGATAAGGAAGAAGTAAGGAGCAGAAAATGATGATAAAGGTGGTGGGCGACACCCTTGTCACTTTTCATCCAGGACGCGCCCAGTGTCCCCAGCCGTCTGCTGCTTTTGGATATGGGCATTGTCCAAAAGTGTCCCAAGGGTCAACTAGGGCAGGTGTCCCCGCCCAGGGCGACCCTCCCTTTACCTCTAGCCTGCCCTTCAGGGCTCTGTCCCAAACTCCCAGGCGCGCATGAGGGGCGGACAGGTGCGCCAGGGCCGCTTACCCCGGTGATCACGGCGGCGTCCCCAGCGTGGGGGGTGAGCAGCAGCGGTGGCAGCAGCAGCAGGAGCAGGAGTGGGGCGTAGCGTGGGCTCCTCATGGTGCCCTCGGGACTGGACGGCCGCCGGAGGCGGTTAGGGGCGCAGGGACCGGGGCGCGCTGGGTGGAGCGCGGAGTGACGGACTGGCAGGCGCAGCGGCTCCCGCGAGCCTCCAGACCGTTATAAAGGCGAGCGCCGCGGTGACTCACGCCGGCGCCCGCCCGGCAGCACACGCGGGGGGCACGGCGCGGCACACACCCCACGCCCCACGCGCACACGCGCGCCCGCCCTGGCCCGGCCGGCTCCCAGACGAGCACGTGCTGCGCGCGCCCCCCCCCCGCGCCCCCGCCCCGGGCGCCACGCAGGCAGCGCTCCCTGCGGGGCGCCCCGCTCCGCGCAGTTCCCTCCGCCGTCGCCTCGCTGCCGCCTTTCGCACGCGCCGGAATCGCTTTTGTGGTCTCCGAGACACTCATTTGCTGTCCTGGTTTCCACAGCTCCACGTGCTCAGCGCCGAAAACTTGCACATCATTTGCTCTACAGATGTTTACCAGGCGCCTACTATGTGCCGGGCGTTGTGGACACATAGCAGGCGGCGGGTTGGGGGGGGGGGTGTGAGGGGGTGGCAGCAGCCCCTGAATCCGTTCGTTTGCTCAGCGGGTCTATACTCGGCGCCCGCTGCGTGCCAGGTATTGCCACCGGCTGTGTCCTCGTGGTGGAATAGCTTAACAGAGAAGACAGACATCAATCAAATGCCCTGAAAACGTGGAAGGCAGGGGGAAAGAACAAAGGGAGAGCAAAATCGCCCCAATCCCACACCCTCGACAAAGTGGAAGGATTTGTCCTTCCAGCTGCGGGAGTCTTGTTTGTTTCTTTCATGTCAGATGCCTTCCCTTTATGCCCACATCTGTTCCCGACCCTCTCCTCTGACTTTCCTCACATGTATTTCCTCCCCTCTCCAGCCCCGCGCCAGCTCCAAGCCCAGTTGTTCAGGGTGATGCCAAAGGGAAATGAGAACGCCTGCTTTCGAGTGCCAGCCTGAGGCCCCTTAAGCCCTAGGTACGCAGCTCTCTCTTCCTTAACTTTCCAGCCCAGGAAGATCACCCTTTGGTCTTACACATGCAATAGGGCGTTACTGTGATTCGTTCATTCATGTAAACATGAAATGAGTTTCTAGTGGGTTCCAGGCACACCAGGAAAGGACAAGTGACAGATTTGCCCTCCATCTCTGATCCTGGGCTGGCTCCAAGAATTCTAGCCTGTTTCCATCAACAAAAATTATATCAAGAATACCTAGATGTGACTACACCAAACTTGCTTGCCCGTTTGGGGAAACCCAACTTTCTTCCTGAATAATCAGAACCTCTGGCTTTCCTGGTCTCATAAGAACCACAAACTGTCGAAAAGCAGATGCATCTTTCAGCCTCTTTATTAAATGCAGTAAGGAGAATTGAGACAGAGTTACTTTCAGACTGTGGGGCTCCCCATGCCAAAGCATTCAGACGAAATGTGGGGGTTGGGGGGGTGGGGCGAAGGCAAGCAATTATCTGAATGTTAAACATCTGAATATGTGGAAACCCCAATCTTTGGCTGATTTTTGAAAACCTTTTTCACACATGTTCCCATGTTTAAGAAACACCCTGAAACAGAAAACACAAAAGGAGACAAACTCTTTTTTCAACTTAAAAAAAAAATGTTAAAATTGGACTCACAGTGGAATAAGTAGAAACAGTAGCAAGTGACAGACTTGTGGAAAGTTTCCTTTTCCAGTATCCATGCCAACACTAGCTTGGGAGCGCTGCCGGCTAAATGTAAAAACCAGTCAACATGGATTTTAACATTCCTATGACTTTTTTTTTTAATGGTCTATTTCATATTCGCTACTATTGAATGCCAGCTTGGGTATTCCCCGCTTCTTCAAGCATAGAAAATATGATATGTCTACATAGGAAAAATCAGATTTGAAGTGGCTGGCTTCTTACGCAGCTGTTTGGGAAACAGTCCTCATAAAGCTGTTTTGAAACAAGACTGAAAAAAAAAGAAACAAGTTTGGAAACACTTAAAAATAGGGTTGGTTTAGTTTCATGTTGTTTCTTATGGAAATTTTTATTGTTTTAATGCTTTAGAGAAGAAATGAAGGCTCTTGATATGTCATCTTCGTATCGGAGGCCAAGTTGAACATTGAAGTCTGGCTTCAATTGTTACAAAGGGAAAAATGAGAAAAATGAGTTTGGATTAGTCTGTTAAAAAAGGTAGGAGGTGCAATTTAGCAACGATGAATAGAAATGGAAGAGTAGTTTGATTCTGTTCTATTACTGTGACCTGTTGATGTTGCCACATGATCAACTCGGCCCTGGCATAACTGTATCAGGTGAAATGAGCCTGTGTGTGTAAAGTGTAGCCTACCATTTTCCAGCAGACTATCAAGGCTCAGCTTAAATGAAAACACAATCTAGGTGGGTCTATAGAACCCCATGTTTGTGAGACAGGCTGTCCTGGATTGGAATCCTGTGTGACCACTGGGCAAGTTACATAACCTTTTGAAGCCTCTGTTTCCTATTCTACAAAATGGGTATAAAATACCAACCTCATCGGCTACAACCCCTGTGGAATTTAATAATACCTGCAAAATGCTTATCACAGTGTCTAGAACAGACTGAGAGCTGTCAGGGTTACCTCTAATTAAACCTTATTATTTGGTCTCCCCTGACAATTTCAGCCAATGCTGATATAGACCTTTTCTGTCTTGCCCACTACATTAGATTGTATACTTTTTGTGATTAGGATCCTTGTGTCTAATTTTGTATGCATTCCTCTTGGCACATGACATGATAATAGGCATATGGCAGGCATTCAGTAAGTAGTGACCAACAGGAACATATCCCAGGAAGGATAGTCCAGAGATAGTTACAAGAAGATGATATACAGTACAGACTCATGTCATTCATATGAATCCATTAAAGGTAGTCACCAAAAAGCAAGAGAGATGGAAGCTTTACCTGATGCAGGTGATTCAGCTTACCCCTCTACTTGGGGGCCATGTGACTGGAATGAGGTGAGCTTGGAGACACAGATCTGTTTCCTGGCTGACTAATAAGGCTCCATTTCGACATGTGCTTCATGATTGCCAGTGTAGTGGTCTATATTGTGTGTTCCCCTAAAAAGCTGTTTTCAAGGCCTAAGTCCTGATACCTATGAATGTGACCTTATTTGAAAATAGGGTCTTTGCAGATGTAATCAACTTAAGATAAGGTCATGCTTTATTAGGGTGGGTTCTGAATTCAGTGACTGGTGTCTTCATAAGGGAAAAGAGAGGGAGAATTGGATACAGAGACACAGAAGAGACTACCCCACAACACACAGGAGAACGCCAAGTGACGGTAGGGGCAGAGATTGGATTGATGCTTCTACAAGGCAAGAAACACCAAGGATTGCCAGCAGCCATCAGGATCTAAACGAGCAAGGAAGGATTCTTCCCCAGATTCTTCACAGGGAGCACGGCCTTGTTGACTCATTGATTTTGGACTTCTAGCCTCCAGAACCACGAGAGAATCAATTTCTATTGCTTTACGCCCCCAGTTGTGGTAATTTGTTATGGCAGCCACGGGAAACTAACATAGTTGGGTGCAGCCAGAGGGTTATACACCAGCTTTCTCTGCCTGGAATTGATGCCTATCACTTTTGCTCACTTTTTAGTGGCCAAAATAAGCCACATGACAGTCTTTCTTCAAGGGGACAGACAGTGCAACTCTGTCACTGGTTTTGGAAGACAAGGTATCAGGTGAGCGTGCTATATTCTACAGGAAATGAATCATTCATGGCTTGGACTCCTTAATGAGCATAATGAACTTTGAACGATATTAGTAATTGCTATTATAAATAATAATGTGTAATTTCCTTTGTATTTTTTTCTAGTTCAGAATTGTTTATACCAGAATTATACAAAGACTCTGAAAGTGAGTAAATGTGTAAGCTAATACTTTCTTTTAGGTGGGTAGTAAACCACAATTTATTCATTCAACAGGTATTAACTAAGACTTACTGTATTCCAGATGTTGTATGCAGCATAGGGGGTACAAGGGAGAGCATATGAGGAAACCTGAAACTTTCCTTAAAGTACTGGAATCTGAGATTAGAGCTGAAACTTATACAGAATTTAACTGAGATGAAGAATGAAACACAGCTGGGTGCAGTGGCTCATACTGGTAATCCCAACACTTTGGAAGGCCCAGAGAGGAGGATTGCTTGAGCCCACGAGTTCTAGACCAGGCTGGACAAAACAGGAAGACCCCCATCTCTACAAAAAAATTTTTAAAATTAGCTGGGAGTGGTGATGGGCAACTATAATCCCAGCTACCTGAAGAATCAAGGTGGGAGGATTGCTTGAGCCCAGGAGGTCAACACTGCAGTGAGCTGTTATTGTACCACTGTACTCTAGCCTGGGTGACAGCAAGACCCTGTCTCAAAAAAATATAAAAATAAAAAATAAAACAGCAGACTTGGAGGATGGCTGGGCATTCCAGGCAGTGCAGACAAAAGGGTAGCCAGTGTGGCCCAAAGAATGAGCCTAAAGGGAAGCCTGGAACAAATACGGAGCCAGAGGGATGGCAGGGACCCTTTGCAGGGTCTTCTGTAGGCCACACGAAAGATCTTGGTCTGCATGGTCGGTTGGGAAGGAGAAAAATCATAAGAATGGGGCAAGTGTAACATGAGCAGCTTTCCTAAGGAAGACCTCACTGCGGTGTGACTCAGCCGGTCCACATCCCAACACCTTCTGGCACCCTCCAAACCCCTTTGGTTGAAGGCAACTCTATCCTTCCAAAGATGGCCTTGGAATCATCTTTAACCCGTCTCTTTTTCTCACGCCTAAAGCCCATCTGTCTGGAAATCTTGTTGTCTTTTGAAGGCAAACCTACTTTGCCTTCAATATGATATTGTAGATATCATATTAGTGATAACATTTTATATTATAATAAAACATAAATACAAAATAAAATAGAATATATTCTAATAAAATATATCCAGCCACTTTGCCCTCTGTCATGCTACCCTTCTTGTTCTGAGTCCCTGACACCTCCAGCCTGGATTACTGCCACTGTCATTACCACAAGACTGGCCTCCAAGGTTCATCCTTGCCCTCTATATTCTATTATCAATGCAGCTGTCACACCTTTATTTTTTTTTTAAAAGTAAGTCAGACTCTTTGCCCCAAACCCTG